CTAGGAGCAAACTATGGCTTTGTTCAAACTCATTGTTAGTCTTAGAATCTAAGAATGAAATAACAGCCTTGCAGACCATGTGAATACTACAGTATAGCTGTACAGAAATAATGCATACTTTATAAAGTGTGTTTGTGCTGTGCATGTGTGACGGCGCATTGGGGGGTCCCCCGTCTCCTGCACCCCCGAAATGGCACAAACAGACTCCGCCAGCCAGTAGAATAGAGGTGGTTTATTGCTTCTCCAGTATACAGCACAGATGTCATCAGGTTACAGGGCAGGCCTAGGATGCCTCAGCCCCCCTTGATATGGGGCAGGGGTCTCGGCTTCTAAACCCCCCAGCCTGTTGCTGAGGCTGCTTCCTCCATGCTCCCAGACAGACACTAACTCACTCTCCTCCAGCCCTTCCCCCCAGCCAGGGCAGCATTCACCTTCCTTTATTCCTCTCCATGGGGGTTAGCTGGTCAGACCGGTTGAGAGATCCCTTTGCATAATGACCCATCCCTGTCCTTCTGGGCTGTGGTACCGGCGGCAGCCAGTGGGGTTACCACAGACCCATAGAAACCAGCAAGTTCCCCCCCACTACGTCACAGCATGAAAATACATATTGGGGGTTCTATTCTTGTGGCCCACAGGTCTGCAGTAGCTCTCTCAGATTATAATACTATGATTAGGTTTTTATTTTCTAACTTCATTGCTGGTGAAAAGTAATAGAAATGTAGCCATGTTAGTCTGGTGTAGCTGAAGCAAAATGCAGGACTATGTAGCACTTTAAAGACTAACATATAAACCATCTTGTTAGTCTTTTAAAGTGCTACATAATCCTGCATTTTGCTTCATTGCTGGTGGTAGTTGACTTGATAATTAAGATGAATATTGTACCTAAACTGTTTAAATACAGCTAAATGAGATTACAAAATTCTGTGCTTAAAGAAGTTGATCTTCTAAAACAGAATTAAACTATCTCCCACGTATTGGGGTTTGTCATTGAAGACAGCTTAGTGTCTTATTTAAGAGAAATTGGTACAATTGGTTTTACTCAATTGTACATATATCACATACCTTTTTTTTTCCCTTCCAAACCCTCATGAACACCTCTAGCTGTTTCGAAAGATAAAGCACAGAAAAACAAAGTAATTCTAGAGGTGTGTACTTACCTTGAACCTTGCCAGTCATGTGTCTATTTATTTGTAAAATAGTGATAGAAATGTAGCCATGTTAGTCTCCTGTAGCTGAAACAAAATACAGGACTATGTAGCACTTTAAAGACTAACAAGATGGTTTATTAGATGATGAGCTTTCGTGGGCCAGACCCACTTCCTCAGATCAAATAGAGGAAGAAAATTGTCACAACCATATATACCAAAGGATACAATTAAAAAAAAGGAACACATATGAAAAGGACAAATCAAATTTCAAGGGGGGGGGGGGGGGGTAAATGCCTGTGAGTTAATATTAGAGGTGGGGAAGGGGAGATGTCTGTGAGTTAATGGTATTAGAGGTGATAATTGGGGAAGCTATCTTTGCAATGGGTAAGGTAGTTGGGATCTTTGTTCAGCCCCCTGCGGAGAGTGTCGAATTTTAGCATGAATGCCAGCTCAGAGGATTCCCTTTCAAGTGCAGATCAACCTATCTATGGTTGGGATGTCAAAATGTATTTATTTAGGTAAATGTGTAACTGCTGGAAAAATTCAGCGGGTACACGTAGAGGGAGGGGGAGAAGGCAACTTAAAAGCTGGCTCCCTGATGTTTTCAGGCCAGGATTTACTGCTGTGCTGTCCAGACAGGTCTATGGTTCCCTTGATGGTGCTAACCAGAAGGCTACTTGAGTGTGTGCTCAATGATGTGTGCCTTGTTTACTTGCGCAATTAGTTAACACCATAGACTTCAAGAGAGCCCCCAAAGAACACAAACCAGATAAGAATAGAAGGCACCCAGCCAGGTTTATTGTTAAGCGAAGTACAGTAATAGTTGTCAGTAGACTCTACTGATCCACTGTGCATATGTACCCTGTAACAATGGACTGACTCAGTGGGAGATCCCCACTGCTCCCCGATCAAAGACTGTTGCCCCTCCCCCCAACACTTTATATACAGGTGCAAACAAGTTTCACATCAGATTGCCACCCTCAGACTTTGTCAAGTTACCATCCTCTGATGCTATTTAGATACCACACATCCGCCCTATACCTCGTGGTTTGATTAGATCATCGCTATCTATCATGCTATCATTTTAGATCCTTTCCTGAACCTGGGGGGAGTGTGGGTACCAAGGTCTTGCTTAATGAGCTGGTGGTACCATCCTTTTGGAATGTGATTTCAACTTATGCCCAGTACCAATTCCTGTTCTACACCTGGGCATATTACCAATTAGTGTTTTACACTCTCATCCCTGATCATGCCAAGTTATGTGAGCAGAGCCTGCCTCTTGCTCACAGCTTAGCTTTGTGTAGTATTAGCCAAGTTTTGTCCTTTGTTAGCTAGGCCTCAGGCCTCAAACCAGGCCTTTGCTACATGGGCTTTTGCTTCAGGCCCTCATCTTACTACACCTGTCAGCATTGGCCCCAATTTGCCTCCCTGTGCTGCTGCCTCTGATACAGGGAGGTGGCTGCATGTAACCATGAGCCCAGGCTCACTAGTTAACCGTGTACACCAGGGGTAAGCAACCTTTCAGAAGTGGTGTGCCAAGATTTAACTTACTCACTTCTATTTACGTGTCTGTGTGCTGGTGATACTTTTTCAAGTCAATACTAGTCCTACTTACAGTAGCTTCATTAATAAATCAATTAAGATGCGCATCTTACCGTTTAGTGTGTGATCTTTGGCCTTGGTTTGCCTTGCTGAGTTCTCTGATCTCGGGCTCATAGTTTGATACTTTAAGCAGCACACAAGCCTCTGTGTCAGGATTCGGCAACCTACAGCATGCCAGAGCAGCCACCTTCCAATGTAGTTGCGGGCCTGTCTCCAACCTGCCTGCCTGCAGCCCCTAGTCTACACATTTACACTTTCACACCACTACTATATAGTGAAGTCCCCTTGTAACAGTTGTTTTTTATGTCATGATAGTCCTTGCTAAAGCTGTTGTAGCATTATTTTAAACCCCCTCCATAGCTTGGAGAGAAATTGGCAGGAATGGAATGTACAGTTTATGTTCCCATTTATTGCTGCCCTGGATGCCTCATGTTCCTACCCAGAATCTGTACTCGGTTTATGAAAGGGCATGTTCTTTCTCCTTTGTATTGTTCATCAGGATGGTTTTTCAAAAGCTGTAGATTACAGTCCCAGGCGGTCGGTTTCTAGCGGAGTGCCCTAACAATCGGTTCTAAGGCTAGTTTTGTTCAGTATCTTTATTAATGACCTGAATGAGGGGATGGATTGCACCCTCAGCAAGTTTGCAGAGTACACTAAACTAGGGGAAGAGGTAGATATGCTGGAGAGCAGGGAGCTAGACAGATAAGAGGATTGGGCCACAAGAAATCTGATGAGGTTCAACAAGGACAAGCGTAGAGTCCTGCACTTGGGATGGAAGAATTCCAAGCATTGTTACTGGCTGGGGACCGACTGGCTAAATAGCAGTTCTGCAGAAAAGGACCCGGGGATTACAGTGGATGAGAAGCTGGATGTGAGTCAACAGGGTGCCTTTGTAGCCAAGAAGGCTAATGGCGTATCAGGTTGCATTAGGAAGAACATTGCCAGCAGCTCCAGAGAAGTGATTATTCCCCTTTATTCGGCTCTAGTGATGCCACATCTGGTGTATTGTGGGGGGCCCAGAACTGCACACTATAGAAAGGATGCGTACGCATTGGAGAGAGTCCAGGGGAGGGCAACCAAAATGATTACGGGACTAGAGCACATGACCTATGAGGAGAGACTGAGGGATTTGGGTTTGTTTAGTCTTCAGACGAGAACAGTGAGGGGGTATTTGATAGCAGCCTTCACCTTCCTGAAAGGGGTTCTAAAGAGGATGGAGAGAGGCTGTGCACAGTAGTGATGGCTGGCAGAACAAGGAGCATTAGTCTCAAGTTACAGTGGGGGAGGTCTAGGTTGGATATTAGGAAAAACTATTTCACTAGGGGGGTGGGGAAGCACTGGAATGGGTTCCCTAGGGAGGTGGTGGAATCTCCATCCCTACAGGTTTTAAGTCTCGGCTTGACAAAGCCCTGGCTGGGTTGATTTAGTTGGGATTGGTTCTGCCTTGGATAGGGGGCTAGATTTGATGACCTTGTGAGGTCTCTTCCCGCTCTATGACTCTGACTGCTCCTGTCATATTTAACACAAGAGTGACTTTGACCGTAATCTCTGACCTTTCCCTCCTGGCAGTAGCTCACCACCATATTAGAAGAGATCTTACTCAAGTACTAGTAGCAATATTTTATGCAGCCTCCAAG